GATCACGTTGAATTCCTTATAGAAGGTACTTGGCAAATGTTTTCATATATGAGAACCTTATGTATATATTCATATATGAGTATATATACATATTTATTTAATACATAACATATACTCATATTTACGGTAAGTCTTGTATCTGACAGTATCTTAAAGACAAAGACTATTTTTAAGTTGAACTTTAGAATCACTAAAATATTTCTGAAGTTGATTGATATTTTTAAAAAACAAAAATATTTATCACAAATATATGCTTAAATTAGGCTTTTCTAAAAAATTTTAAATATATATTTATTGGGAAGACAGTGTTATCCAATACCTACAGTGTTATTTTATTATTATTATTATTATACATTTAAATTAACTAAAATATGGTATTAAGAGCCCTCTAGTGGCAAAGTTCTTAACAGACCCATGAAAAAGGAAAGAATCTGGACCATCTTCTAAATCTAAGAGGTTTTTTTTAAAAAACTAACAAAGTACTAGATACTTACTCTCTGTGATCATATTAAACATGAAGCACAACTCGGGTATGTTTGATCATAAATTATGACATTATTATACTAATAATGTTCTTGCTACTAGCCTCCAAATTCATTAAAAATATACAAGAAATGTAATATTTAAATATGCCAACCTAAGCATTTTACCCTTAAATAAAGTTGTAAAAGCAGAGAAATCTCTTCCTCTAAAACCAAAACTTCGTAAGCTAGACTACTGATCTTTCAGGTGGTCCCCTAGTTCACGCCGACTCTCAGAAACACATGTGCATACACACACACGTTCAATGTCATGAACTGATATGCCAGTTTCAAAAATTAGAATACATTTGCCACACAAAGTAAACAGGGTTATGAATGACATTTAGGGTTGTAATAGTCCCTATATTGCTGATTATAAAGGAATCCAAACCTAACCACCAGAATCCAAACCTAACCACCATCCACAAATACTGCTTCAAATTCGCTGAGTTCCACATGGACGGTAAGGAGCACACTTTTCCTGCGACCACTGCAGGGTGGCGGAAGACCTCCTTCACCACTCCTACTGTGCCAGGTCACCACAGGGTGCAGAACTGCTGAGGAGAGGGTCCCAAGAATCTCTTGTGACCAGTTTGTAGATTCCGTAAACATAGCAGAAAGTTCCCAGCACACTCAGCTATAATGGAAAGGGCCTTAAGTGTCTCCAAAACACAGAATAATTTTAATGTGGGTAGTGGTTGAATTTCTTGATATGGGTGACTGTTCTTTTTGTTGCTGTTGCTGTATAATAACTTCTTTCCTTTTTAAAAATGTATTTTTTTTTCATTTTTCAGAACAGTTAGTTCTTATGTATGTTATTCACAAGTCAGACTCAAGTCAGGGCCTCCTTTTAATCACTTACCCATCCATTCATTCACTTATCCCTTCACTCATTCTACAAACATTTATTGAGCCCCTACCATGGACCAGGTCCTGTGCTTACTGTAAACATGAAGTCTATCAACATATTCTTGTCCTCGAGATTATAATTTAGTGTTTAAGGTAAGAAAGAATTAAACAGAGTGGCAAGAGCATAGTAGCGAGTTATCTGGTTTAGTCTGAAGATAAGGGGTGACCTTTGTGGATATGAAGTGTAAGTCTTGAAAGACAGGGACCAGTGAGATGGGGCGGCTGGGGGTGACTGCAGGAAGGGGCTTGCACAGTGACAGTGTAGCTAGTGACATTCCCCCTGTAAACCGAAAGGGACAAGACACGCTTTATTTTCTATTAGGAAAGTAAGGTGTGTTCAGAAATTATTGACTGAAAATTAAAACAATACACAAGTGTAAAGAGAATTTTAAAATCACTGATAAAATGCCACCCTCTACCTTTCTCACACTCCCTCCCCCACCACCCAGAGAGCCACTGTTTGATGATGAGGTGACCAGGTTTTCTTCTGTGCGTTCACAAGTATTTTTCCCTTCACAAAAGCAGACTCCTATTACAAATACAGTTTTATAACTTAGAATTAATATCTTAAAACTATATTTTAGGTATCTTTCTTATAAAACTGTATCGGTTCTGCATGGCCAGTGGGGCTAAGTGGTTAAAGTGTCGACTTGTGGACTGAAGGGTCTCGGGTTCGATTCCCAGTCAAGGGCATGTACCTGGGTCGCAGGTTCAGTCCTGGTCCCGGTCAGGGTTGTGCAGGAGGCAACCAGTCGATGTGTCTCTTTCACACTGATGTTTCTTCCTCTCCCCCCACCCCTTCCCTTTCCACTCTTTTTAAAAATTCAATTAAAAAAATGTCCTCGGACGAGGGTTAACAAAACAAAATTTAAAAAGTATACAGGTTCTGATAAGGAGTTAATATCCAAAATACATAAAGAACTCATACAACTCAGTAGCAAAAACAAAACAAAAACAATCTGATTAAAAAATGGGCAGAGGATCTGAATAGACCTTTTTCCAGAGAAGATATACAAATAGAAAACAGGCCAACGAAATGGGGCTCAACATCACTAAATATTAGGAAAATACAATTCAAAACTGTAATGAGACATCACCTCTCACCTGTTAGAATAGCTATGATCAAAAATACAAGCAATAGCAAGAGGTGGCAAGAATGTGGAGCAAAGGGAAACTTTGTACACTGTTAAGGAGAACGTATATTGGTGCGGACTCTAAGAAATCAGTGAAGTTTCCCCTCCAAAGTTAAAAATAGAACTACCATATGGTCCAGTAATGCCACTTTGGGGGTATTTATTTGAAAGAAACAAAAACATTAACTCAAATAGATATATACACCTCCATGTTCACTGCGGCATTATTTACAATAGCCAAGGGACACACACACACACACACACACACACACACACACATACACACACACACAGAATATTATCCAACCATAAAAGAAAGGAAATCTTGCAATTTGTGCCAATATGACTTGAGGGCATATGCTAAGTGAAATAAGTCAGAAAACGACAAATACTGTATGATCTCACTTATATGTGGAAACAAGTAAGTCAGTAAATAACCAAACCCACAGATACAGAAAACAAATTGGTGGCTGACAGAGGTGGGGGTGGGGGTGTGAAATGGGTAAAGGTGGTCAAAAGCACAAACCTCCAGGTATAAAATAAGTCCTGGGAATGTATGTACAGCATGGTTACTATAGTTAATAGAACTGTATTACATATTTGAAAGTTGCTGAAAGAATTTAAAAGTTCTCATCACACACTCACACACCCACACACACAAAATGTAACTGTGTGGTGATGGATGTTAACTAGGCTTACTGTGGTAACCACTTCACAGTATATACAAATATTGAATCATCATGTCATACACCTGAGACTAATATTAATCATCAATTGTATCATAATAAAATTTCAAAATTAGCCCTGGCCAGTGTGGCTCAGGTGGTTGGGCATTTTCCTGTACAGCGAAAAGATGCCGGTTTGATTCCTGGTCAGGGCACATTCCCGGGTTGCAGGTTCGATCCCTGGTAGGCAGCCAACTGATGATCGATGTTTCTCTCTCATTGATGTTTCTCTCTCTCTCCCTCTCTCTCTCTCTCTCTCTCCCCCTCTCCCTTCCTCTCTCTCTAAAAAATCAATGTAATTTAAAAAGCAAAATTACATTGAATGGCTGTTAATATTTGACTTGAATATTTTATAACAATCTGTGAACTATATTTGCTACTATGAGCACTTCAATGAACACTGTAGCACATTATTTTTATTTGTAGGCATACCTCAGAGATATTATGGGTTGGGTTCCAGACCACCACCATAAAGTGGGTTGTAATTTTTTTTGCTGGTGGAGGGTTTTGCCTTAAATTTGTAAAAAGCATAACATCTGTGAAGTCCAAAGAAGTGGAGCACAATAAAACGAGGTATACCAGTTCTTGGCCTACTGTCCCATAGTAATAAATTACTACAATGAAATGACTAATACATGTGCATAGTGCCAAAGTGCTCTTCAGAAAGACTGGACAAATTTACATTTCTAACAGCAGTAGGCCCGAATGCCTGCTTCCCCATGCTCAATCTTTTTCTTCAAGAAGACCCTTCAACATTTCATATAATAATGGTTTGGTGGTGATGAACTCCTTTAGCTTTTCCTTGTCTGGGAAACTCTTTATATGGCCATGGATTCTAAATGTCAGCTTTGCAGGATAGAGTAATTTTGGTTGTAGGTTCTTGCTTTTCATCACTCTGAATAGTTCTTGCCACTCCCTTGTGGCCTGCAAAGTTTCTTTTGAGAAATCAGCTGACAGCCTTATGAGAACTTCCTTGTAGGTAACTAACTGCTTTTCTCTTGCTGCTTTTAAGATTCTCTCTTTGTCTTGAACTTTTTTCAAATTGTTTATGGCCAAACAAAAAAAAGCTGCTTAGTTCTGAGAAAATACTAAATTCTAAAGAGGTAATTTATTCTAACATAATAAGTAAGTAGCTTAAGGATCCTAAGAATAGAAAAAAGAGCAGAAATTTAAAGGAATATTACTAAATTAGTCAATATATTATCAGACATCTTAAGAGAGGAGTAGAATAGTTTCAAAAACTAATTTTTACTTATAAAATTTGTTCTTACAAAACCAAACACTGAGGAAGTAATAGTAATGTAAGATAACCTCTCAGTTTATAAAAGTATTTACTGCAAGTTTCCATTTAATGGTAAATTCCCTTAAATGAGTTTGAAATATAACAAATACACAAAAAAAGTGAATTTGAAATATAATAAACACACAAAAATTAAATGACTTCAAAGCTTTTCAAGAGTGCTCCTAAAATAAAAATGAGAAACTCCTATGCTGAGCTTTAGGATGTTGAAGCAACAGACTCAACTATGAAGAGTGCCTAGTAACAGAAGGCAAGAAAAAAAAAATACACATTCAAAATTAGGACATTGGCAAGAAAGTGGCTTTCAGACAACTGCCAGTTGTTTTGGGGGAAAAATCTTGAGAATGTTTCAGGGGACTCTAATAACACTTGTTACATAAAGAAAAAATGTACACATTGAAATGTGTCTTACCATTTGTACTACACTGTCACCTAGTTCTTTGACTTTCATTTCTTCCTCCTGGACTGAGTGGGACTCGTCTTCCTGTTGTTTATACTCCTCCTGTAGCTCGTTGCTGACTGCTGCCTGTACACTCTTGACTTCGTCGTTGACAGAGAGAGGCACCCTGGAAGCCCGTGCCTGTAATAATGTGGGGACAGGGTGCAGTGGCGTGACATGGTCGTAGCGAGTGTGCAGGAGCCGCAGGGCAATGTCACTTGTGGCTAATATCCTTGGAATTTCAAATCCAATTTGCATTTCAGAGCATCTGACACTTCTGTGCCTGTTAGTAATAGATTTTAACAAAAAAGATGAGGCCCCGGGAAACACAAGAACTGTTGCGAATTTATACCTAAGCAGGATTTCTCTCTGCTTCAATGTCGCCACAGTTTTGAATCCCGACCATGACTTGCATTCCTTGCAGGATTTGGACCCAGTTTCTAAAGTTCTACAGCTCAAAAAACACTCTTGGGATCCATAACCCAGTACTCTTCTCGTTACGGGCAGCTCCTTCTCTGTGTCCTCTGTATGGCCTTCTTCCTAACCGTCACCTGAATGTTGATATTGCTCAGCTCTCCATCCCAGGCACTTCTCTTCTCCCTCTACATAATCTCCTTGGATATTATTTCTATGGCTTCAATTATCATTAAAAGCATCAGGAGTGTTTGACATGAGTTCTATGTTTCCTGGGGTTGGGTAGGGGAAAGAACCATCTGGATAAACTTTAAAAGGTCCAAAAAATGCCCTTACGTGTATGTGTGTGTGTGTGTGTGTGTGTGAGCATATAGAATTATTTAAAGTTCATTAGTGTCTATGATTCCCAAAAAGTTAAGAACTACTGGTTTACATGCTAATGACTCCCAAAAATATATCTCCAACTCAAATCTCTCTGAAGTCCTTCAGACAGTTGCACTGTGATATTTCACAGGTACTTCAAACTCAACAAGTCCATCCCTGCACCCCCCTCACCATCACCATAAAGATAAAGCACACTTGTTTCTGCCTCCACTACTCATTATCTCAGTAAAAGAACCACCTAGTTCTCTTCTTACACCTGGGTGGTTAATACAAGGCTATTTGTTTTCCTTTTATTCTTTAAAAATTATACAGATCAATTCTCTTCTATGAAACATATTTCATAAAATCACTCTTATGTGTGTAACATATTTCATAATAAAAAGGTTATATTACTATATTGTCTCTAATTTAGATGGAAACCAGAGTATTCTGTAGCAAATGCAATGTGAAAAATATTTCCTTCCTTCTACTCAATATCAAAAATTAAGTCCAGTTTCTCCCCCTGTAATATAAGTAGTCTTTTCAGAGCTGAGACCAGAACCTCCTAACTTTTAGTCTAGTAATTTTTTCTTAAAACTTATTGCCATACTAATTCAATGAATTTGAAATATTTGAGATCAGGCAGCAACTGAGTGATCATGAATTTATCATCACCACTATCATTCCTCAGAAAGCTGTTATTTTGTTAAAAATAACTGGAGAAACATCACTTAAATATCTAAAAAAATAATAAACATGAAAGTGTTATTTTTTGAAAAGTATTATTTTTAACAGTTCACAAAGATAATGTGTGTTGTTGTTTTAATTTGACATTGCCTTGTAGAAAGCACCTACCACTTCTAATTTTGGGGGAAAGGAAAGTTAAGCACTGAAGAGAAGAGGAAGACCTGATATTTATTTGGCATGTATTTATACTATGACCTTTCTATGCATTAATATTTAATCTTCAACCCAATCCTATTAAGTAATATAATCATCATTGTACTGTTGATATACTGAAGCTCAACAAGGCTATGTAACATGCTGAAGGTAAATGGCAGGTCTATGATTCAAAACCCCATTTGACTGACTTCTTAATTAGCATAGGTTCTTCCAAGGATGCCATGCGGTGATTCAACAGGCATATGTCTGGTCATCATGATGTGACTCTGATGTCTTTCAAACTACAGCATCACCCATGGGAATACCTTGGGTTCTTCTTGAGGTTTGCCCACACATATAGAGTAACATTTTCATCTTGAATGACTTTTTCCATATTTCCAGTGTCCAGATCTGCTAAAGTACTAGCTTGCTGTAAGAGAAAAAGAAAAACATAAAAGATCAGAGGCCTCATAAATTATCGACTTAGATAAGTTATCTCATCATTTAGGTGTTGGATTCCTTCACTACTTAAAAGAGTTATTTGGGTAAAACTAAGGTTCAATCAAAATGGCAAAAAATTGCTTAAAAATTCTCAAAAATGATACAAACATATTTTAACTTAATTGAATGTGCTTTCTACTTTCCACACAGTTCCTCTTCAAGTGCCTAAGGATTAAAGTTGCTCCTATATACCCAAGTGTCGATTACTGTTTTGTTACCCTTTTCAATTTTAACATTATCATAATTTTCATTTTAACTATACACATGATACCTTAACTGTACCTTATCAAAATGTAAATTATGCAAGTATCTGCCTATTTCTGAACATATCAAAGTTAGAAAACGAAATATTCAGTTTATAAAATCCAGATGAGTTGTGTATTTTACTAGTCCAATACTTGATACCCAACATTAAACATACACTTTAAGGTTTTCTTAAAAATTTTTAAATAAGGACTAACATAGCTTGATGACTATTGCTCAAAAAATTAGCTCCCTTAAAGGGCTTAAATAAATTAATATGTAACCGGTTGCTGTAATTTAAAAACTTAAAAGTATTGGAGGTTGATTTATTGCTTTGTTTTTAAGTGACTGTCCTCTGCCTCCACTTATTTTTTCTGTGAAATTAACTTTTTAAGTGTCCAGGAGAGTTGCCTTGTAGACTTGTTCCACATTGTCGATTTATCTGTTTCCTCACAGTATTGTTTAACTTGTTCCTCTATCTCCTTATTGTTTGTGTACTGGAAGTCAGGTCTAGGTAGGTTTAATTAGATTCAGATAAATTATTTTTATCAAGAAGGCATCATAGGTTTCGTTGTGTTCTTCATATTACAGCCCTTCAGGAGGTATATTATGTCCCACTATTATTTATGTGGATTTCGTCGCTTGGTTCGGGTGGAAACTACCCATAACTCCATATTGCAAAGTATTTTTCCTAATCAGTAAGTAATCTATGGTCTAATACTTTGGCACTATGAGGATAATGTGTTCCTGAACAACTCAACTTTTCACCTAAATAGTTAGATAGCCATTGATGATCCTTGTCAACTATTACATTAAGGATTGAAAAATGATGATTCTTCTAACTGACCATTCCTCCTACATTTATCAGACTGTTCTCCCTCACTGTCCTCCTTCCTTTTTGGAATACGACTATAGATTTATGGATTTTTTTAATGTATTCAATGTATTATAATCAATTATAGTCATTATTCTTTCTGATATTCACATTGTCCCAAATTTGACTAGTGGGAGACTCTTTAAGCTAGTCATGTCCTTTGGATATGAATCCATTAGACTTTGAGCATTTATTTGCTTTCTAGCACAAGAAAACTCAACCTCATCTTTAAATAATGACCTTATCTTTTACTTTCCCTGCTGCAGACCCGGAATCAGCCATTACCTTAATTAGACCTGGCTCCTTTTGATGGAATGAGTTCATACTGATATTTCTATTTTAAATATAACATTTAAGTATTTTTTCTAATATTTTTCTTTTATATACTTTATCTTTTTTCTCTTACACTAGAAATCTTGATTAATAATTATATTTCCTTGTTTTTTCTTACACTATAAATAAAATAGTTGCAAAATTGAAATACAAATATTATTGCTAACAATAAACTTAGTGAAGGTTAAGCCTTCTTTGTAGTTCTTTTAGTAATTAGAACATATTCTACCAGGGCTGGGATTGTTTTCTTGACCAAAAGAAAACAAGAGACAAAATAGCTGAAAGCAAAGTGTGACCTTAGATTGTTTTCTGATTAAAAAAATAAATAAAACAGAAACAGCTATAGAAGATATTTATGGGATATGAGGGAGATTTTAAATATGAACTGGATATTGGAATATATTATAAAATTTTTATTAATTTTCTTAGGTATAATAATGGTTTTGTGGTTATTCGAGTATTATCTTTAGTGCTAAGATATTCAGAAAAATAGAGTGACTATAATAATTGCAATACTGTATCCACTGATTTATCTAGAGTACATATCTAATACATAATGTTATGAGCTTATTTTCATAATGATCCTTGTAAGTCTTAGCAAGTATAATAAAGAAAAATAGATTTTAGCTACACTGATGTTTTATTTATTCAAAAATAAAATATTTCCAGTTGTTAAATATGGGTAAACATGTGTGCCTGAAATGATTCCACGGACTTTTTCATAACCTTTAATTTTTGAAGAAAAAGATGCTGAATGTTTTATGATATGGCATAAAATGTAACCCTTATGAAAGTTAGCTATAACTTTCACAAGCACGCGGCCACTCACAAGCACGCGGCCACTCACCCTGAGTAGAATTTCTGTGGCCGTGTTAAACTTGAGATGAAGGAGCTCCCGCAGCTCTAGAATCGATCCTTGGTACTGCACGATGTTTTTCTCTTGCAGATCATATGGGGGGGTTTCCAATAAAATTAATTTCAATTTATCAATTAACTAAAAAGCAAAAGTATAAAGTAAAAATTTACTATAAAAGTACATCAAATCTGACAAACAGTCAAAGAAAAAGTGAAAAGGGGGATATTCTAACATTTCTGAATCAAAGAACATATCTTATTGTCCGTAAAATAAATACAGGAAAGAATTTTTATATTATTTAAGAGCATGGAAAAATACATTATTTCTTCCCAAAGAAATATCACTACCTAAGACTGTGGAACATAAGAACCACAACAGTATGAGGAGAGAAAAATTACTAGTATTTACTGAATACTTACTGTGTACTGAGAACTCTCTAAATGCTTTATATGTTTTAGTTCACTCCATCCTCATCATAACTCTATGATGTAGATACTATTATTGTGCCTATTTTATAGATGAGAAAGCTTAGGAACACTTGGTTCCACCTGTAAGAAGCTTGGAAGATGTCACTCTGTCCTAACAAATAAAAAGCTGAACAGACTGAAAAATCACAACTCTTCTTTGATCCATAAATGAGGTGTGGACATGTCCCTGCCCCCCCTCCCCCCCAAGATTGGAGGGACCCACAGGTGAAGGCAGGGAGCCATAGCCTAACAGCACAGAGACTCCGGAGCAGAGACTACCGCAGGAGCCAGTGCCTGGGAAAACCTGGTTGTAAATGACAGATTGCTGGAGGCCCAGTGTGGGCAACTCTGAGAATTAAAAAAAACAAACAAAAAAAAACTCCAGGAGGACACAGCCATGGGAGCAGGAAGGCTCACTGGATTGTGACATTTACCTGCAGGAGTTCAGCCGGGTTCCCACAATAAATGCAGAAGAAAAATCCTCTCATGCTCCTGACAGTGGAAGAGGAAAGGGAACCATTTGAAATATGCTAGAATATTCTGTTCTTCTTAATGAGGCCTGATTGCGGGAAACTAATTAACCAGAGCCTAACCTGCTGGAGTTTTATCAGAACCGAACTCCCCTGGGGGAAAGGAAAACTCCAACTCCAGCTGGCTTAAGTCAGCCCCTGGCACTGAAGAGGGAAAGAAAAAATTAAAGACACTTATGAAGTTCACGTCCCAGGGCACAGGTTCCCTAAAACACTGAGCCCTAGTCACAGGACTAGAGAACCTTCCTCTGCCCCTGCCTACTCACCACCATGGCCCTAAAGGCCTATTCACAGCGGTTCTTTTTACCCTGTGCAGCACATCCGGCCATCAAGAGATTACTAGGCACACCAAAAGGCAGGGAACCCAGCTTGATGAGACAGAGCAAGCACGAGAACCAGACATGGCAGGGATGTTTGAATGATCAGACTGGGAATTTAAAACAACTGCTGATAAAGTAGACAGCATGCAAGAACACACTGATAATATAAACAGAGAGATGGAAATCCTAAGAAAGAACTAAAGAGAAATCCTGGAGATCAAAATCACAGCAACAATGTGAAGAGTGCCTTTGGTGGGTGCAGACTAGTCTGCACGGAGCTGAGGAAAGAATCTCTGAGCGGGAGGACATATCAATAGAATCCTGGAAAACTAAGAAGCCAAGAGAGCATAGACAGAAACAAAAACAGAACAGAATACCCAGAGGCTGTGGGACAATCACCAGGGGTAGTTCCCACATAATGGAAATACTGGAAGGAGAAAAGAGAGAGAAAGGACCAGAAGAATGATTTGAAATAATAATGACTAAGAATTTCCCCAAATTAATGTCAGAGATCAAACCACAGATCCACAGAGCTCAGACAACACCAAGCAGGATAAATGCCCCCCCCCCCCAAAAAAAACTACACTTAGGCATATCATTTTCGAACTTTAGAAAAATCAAAGATAAATGTTAAAATCCTGCCAGAAGCCAGAGGAAAAACACACGATCAGAGAACTAGTAAGTGGCAGAATTTAGCTTTGAACACTGACACACAAATGGAAAATTTCTCAGTCCAGAGGCAACATAGCAGCGGAGCACGGTACGGACACAGACGCTGGGCTTCAGTTCTGGCCACCTCTCACTATCAGTGCTATCCTGGGCAAGTCAGGTAACCTCTCTATGCCTCGACTTCTTCGCCTGTAAAATGGGAATAACAGTGCCTACTTCACAGGGTTATTAGGAAAATCCAGCAGCTTACCATTTCTAAAGCCTGGCACAGTGAGCGTTATGTAAGAGTTTGTCAAACAAATGAATTTGGTTATTTGGAACTTGATGTTTACCACGGGGCCGCTGCCATCCAATTCTTCCCCGTTCCTCTTGTGGCTTCCCACTTTCGTTTCCAACGGCTATGATTCCTCTCCTCTTCTGCCTCTTGTTTTGTTTTACTTATCCTTTTCTCATCTTCCCTTCTATTTGTTACTTGTACTTCCGTAGCCCACATTCATCACAGGACATCACCAGCTCTCGCTCAGCACTGGAGAGCTCCGGCGTTACCGCCCACTGCCTCCCTGCTGATGGCGGGGCACAGGCTCCCCGCACATCAGGCACGGCAGCCTCCCCCGCAGACAGCATGTGCCAAGGCAACAACGCTGGATGATGAATCCACTGGTGTGCAACACCTCACAGTGTGTGGGAGGCTCTTTGGAGCCTTTGGAAAGTCAGAGTGAGACCAGTCTAAGTTCTCACAGGGGACATGTGGAATGAAGCTCACTCGCTGTGCAGATTAAATAGGCAATGTTTGTTACGTGCTGCCCAGTCTGAAGTTACTCCGTTTTATAGCAGCACGAGGGAGGGGTAAACCAGTGACCAGAAGCACAAAAATACAATGAGCAATTAGAACAAAAGGCATAAAGGACAACGGGTCCAAGAGAGGTGAATTCCTTTTAGCTTTACTATTATGTAGGTGTGTCTCAGTGTGGATTTCTTTCTATTTATCCTAACTTGGCATCTATTGTATTTCTTGAATCGGAGGATTCATATCTCTCATCAGTTCTGGAAAATTGTCAGCATATCTCTTTGACTACTGTCTCTCCCTCATTCTTCTGGCACTCATTTTTAGTCCTCCTTGCTCTATCACACATACACGTCAACTGTTCTTTCATATTCTCCATCTCTTTATATCTCTGTGCTGTATTCTGGTAAATTTGTCCAATCCAACTTCCGACTCACTCCGGATTGAGAATTCTCACTAGAGACATTTTCATTTTCCCTTCATTAATCTAAAGATGAGCCAAACAAGTTCCTATCATCTCCTTCGCAGAAGAGGTTTTTTTCCCTATTATCCACAATACCTTTTGGAGGCTCCCAGCAATATAGGGGGCCTCTGATCCATTTGCCACCTTGCATTTAACCTAGGCTTTGCCTCTGATGGCCCTTTAAACCAACGCTAAACCACCAGGGTTGACAGATACTTTCTAGGAAGTCTAGGAAGACTTCTGTACTTGCCCACATGTCTAAATTGCTTTATGACCTCCCAGATTTTCCCTTACATTTTTTTGAATTAGGCAATGGACTGAAATGTCATTGAAATATTTTTTTCTAGCATTTCTAAGTGCATTGTAAAGCGGTAGTTCTTCCGGCTAGTCTGTCCATCCTATTTGCAGAAATAGAATGTAAGATATTCTTTTTTTTTTTTTTTTTTTATGAATAATATTTTATTTATTTATTTATTTTGTTACAGATATTTTACCTTTTTACCCCATTGGCACCCCCCACCCTAACCCCCCTCCACCCTGTCCCCGGCTTAGTTGTCCACGTCCATTGGTCATGCATACATGCATACAAGTTCTGTGGTTTATCTCTTCCCACCCCCCCACCCCCCATCCCCTCTTCTGAGGGATATCAGTCTGTGCCCTACTTCCATGTGTCTGGGTCTACTGTATTCCTCAGACTGTTATGTTCATTATATTCCGTATATAAGTGAGATCATGTGGTATTTGTCTTTTTCTGCTTGGCTTCTTTCACTTAGGATAATACTTTCCAGGTCTCTCCATGTCGTCTCAAAGGATAAGAGATCTTTCTTTCTTACCGCTGCATAGTACTCCATTGTGTATATGTACCACAGCTTTTTTATCCATTCGTCTACTGGTGGACACTTGGGCTGTTTCCAGATCTTAGCTATTGTAAATAGTGCTGCTATGAACATGGGGGTACATATATTCTTCCTGATTGGTGTTTCAGGCTTCTTAGGGTATATTCCCAGCAGTGGGATCACTGGGTCAAATGGAAGTTCAATTTTTAATTTTTTGAGGTAGCACCATATTGTTTTCCATAGCGGTTGCACCAGTCTGCATTCCCACCAGCAGTGTATTAGAGTCCCCTTTTCTCCACACCCTCGTCAACACTTGTTGTTTGATGATTTGTTGATGGCGGCCATTCTGACAGGTGTGAGGTGATACCTCATTGTTGTTTTAATTTGCATCTCTCTGATGATTAGTGATGTTGAGCATTTCTTCATATGTCTCTTGGCCATTTGTATGTCCTGTTTGGAGAGGTGTCTATTCAGCTCCTCTGCCCATTTTTTAATTGGATTCTTTGTCTTCCTTTTGTGGAGTTGTATGAGCACTCTATATATATTGGAAATTAACCCCTTATCTGATACATCATTGGCAATGATGTTCTCCCATACAGTGGGTTCCCTTTCCATTTTGATGATTGTTTCCTTTGCTGTGCAGAAGCTTTTTAGTTTGATGTAGTCCCATGTGTTCATTTTCTCCTTTATTTCTGTTGCCTTAGGTGATGTATCAGTGAAAATTCTGCTCCATATGATGTCCGAAATTTTGTTGCCTACATTTTCTTCTAGAATTTTTATGGATTCACGGGTCACATTTAAGTCTTTTTATCCATTTTGAGTTTATTTTTGTGTATGGTGTAAGTTGATGGTCTAGTTTCATTTTTTTGCATGTAGCTGTCCAATTTTCCCAACACCATTTATTAAAGAGGCTGTCTTTACTCCACTGTATGCTCTTGCCACCTTTGTCAAATATTAATTGAGCGTATTGCCTTGGGTCCATTTCTGGGTTTTCAGTTCTGTTCCACTGGTCTATATGCCTGTTCTTGTGCCAGTACCAGGCTGTTTTGGTTACAGTCGCTTTGTAGTA